AAAAACCAAATGAAATTTGGTGCGAGCATTTTAAAACAACTTTGCAGTATTTTCATCAAAAGTATCGCCATCAGGGCTATGATGCTTTGTCAGATGATAACACCTAAAAATTGTCTTAATTGCTGTGATAGAATGATGCGGATTCAGCTCTTGGTTGGAACAGGACGTTGAAGGAATACAATGAGTATTATCAACCGGATGTTTTGCCAACAACACAGAAGAACAACTTTTGACAGCTCTTACAGGAGCCAACTTTGTTTTTTTATAAAAATTTACACTTTTTTAAACTTTTAACCACCGCTCTAAAAAACTCCTCATGCATGGCGGCGACATGTTGGCAAGAGTTATTTTCTTCGCGATTAACAAGACAAAAACGTTTTAATGAAGAAATAATAGCAACAAAATGGTTTACACTCATGCAAATTTGCAAATTGGAAAGCAAATTGGTTATATTAAAGACGTATTGCTGCTTTACTATAGGAACACTCATAAAACCTTTTTACTGTTTGGTTCTGTAACATTTTTACATAGAGGAAAAGTAGTCCTAAGACCAAATGCTCCTATGAGTCGGATTTACCAATTAAAACCAATAGGCATCTGATAAATCTTCATAAAGCTTATTGGACTATAGGCGTTTCTTAGGGGCAAGTTGCCCTAAAAAGCATTATTGGTTGGCAGTAATAAATCAATGTTAAGATCAAACGGTTTTAATTGCAAAAATAATAATACTTTACTTTAAAGTCGCTTATAAAGCCTAATCATAAAGTTTTATTATCTCAAGACCAACTAGCACAAAGTAGAGCTGCAATAAAATAAAAAGCATGTTTTCATGCATTGATAAAGCTTGCATAAAACAGTAAAGCATTATTGACAGGTGAAATTCGCTTTTAATAAAATGCATAACACAACTTATTTTATCATCTTGACATTTCCTTATAATGCAGACTCCAACTGCCAACAATAAGCAAATTTAACGCAATTTTTGCTCCCTCAAATATTTAAATTTTAAAAGTTTAGCAAACTAAAAACTTTATTTCGTTGTTGGGCTTCATTTATTGACTAACCGATAAAGTTTTTCTAAAATGAATGTTAATGAAGGTAAAACTCTGCGTCAAATTTTATATTTCCACACTTTTAGGTCAATTTGATATCCTAAAACAAAAAATATTTATTTCTTCTTTTTTATCGTACTGAGCTGCTTTTTTATTGAACTGGGATTGCCCTGCGTTATCAGAGCCATAAGGCCAAGAAGTTTAGGATAGGAGTTTTGTTAAATCGATCTGGAAAATGTATTTTATATCACGGGGAAATTCAGATACAACAAACGTGCTAAATAAACTGCTTATCCCTTTAAAATAAAGTATACGAGGTGTGTTCAGAAAATATCGGGAATTTCGTTTTTTAAAACAAATATTTATTTATTCGTCTACATTAATGTTGTCGCCTTCAAAATAGTCCCCATTGGATATTATGCACATGTGCCAGCTCTTCTTCCAATACTCGAGACACTTCTAAAACTCGATCTTTGGGATAGCCTTTAGTTCTTTCAGCGATGCGCTTTTAATGTCATCTATGCTTGCAAAACGACGGCCCTTTAAGGTTCTCTTTATTTTTGGGAATGGGAAAAAGTGAGACAGAGGCATGTCTGGCGAATATGGAGGCTGGGGCATCATTGCAGAATTGTTTTTGGCCAAAAATTTTGTTCAAAATTTAACAATTTTAGAACAAATTTTGATGCCACGCGTTTCATACCCAAAACATTCGAAAAAATTTCATGGGATGAGCCAATCGATATAACAACATCATCAGCGACTTCTCTGATGGTTTATAACCATTTCTTCCACTTTTTCCATGTTTTTATCGGTTGATAATGTGCTTGTGCGTTCGGGGCGTTCGTCATCTTCAACGTCTTCACGGCCATCTTGGAAACTCTTATACCACTTGTAAACTCTTGTTTTACTTATAGCAGACTCACTATAGGCCTTTGTTAACATTTCACAGAATTTATTTAATTTTTTAAGCAAAATTGGATACAAATTCTTTGATCCATTTCTTTTAACGAACGAAAAATCGCCGAGCTCATAAAACACGTCTAACCTTAGCGGCTGCCACAGACAAAGTAAACAATGAAAACAGCTAAAGTTTTTATCATACTTCGGGGGCATGTTATTTTCTGAACACGCCTCGTATGAGACCTGTTTTAAATGTCTTAATTGCCTTAAAACTGTTCTAAAATTGATCTAAAACTGTTTTAAAATTAAATTTAAAACTTTTAGAACTGTCTAAAAATGTGTAAAACTCTCCAAAATTGTTTTTAATTTTTTACACATTTAATTCAATAATTGATGATTTTTTCATAGAGATAGTATATGGGCCAAAGGTTACTTTTTGTGTTTGTTTTTTATTAAACTACCTCAACCTAGGAATTTTTTGACACGTTGCGAAAATTTCAAAATTTTCTAAACCTATATTTTTGACAGTGTTGCCAAATTTTTAAAAAATCGCAGAACCTGTTTTTTTTTTTAATTTTTCAAGATACCTTTAGTAGTCGATTTGCACTATATAACGTTGTAACCAAATTTCCAAAAATTCTCAGAAATTTGACAAATTTGTACAGGGTGATTCATTTAACTTGAAACTGAAATATCTCAGTTAGTATGTATTTTACGAAAAAATGTTTAAAATAAAAATTCAATGATTTGAGGGGGGAAATCAATTAGTACTAAAATTGGTCCCCATACTCTCCTCCTTATAGGGGGAACAGGGGGTAACTTTAAAATTTCCAATGGAACACCCTATTTTTTATTGCAGATTCGGATTATTCGACTAAAAATAGGTAGATTTTGTCTAAAAATATTTTTTCATATTAGTAATAGATGGCGCTGTAAATTTCAAAATCAATTTTGTTTGATTTTTCTTCTTATACGATTTGGAAATAATTTTTCTATAAAAATATCACTTTTTTGGTAATAATGATCTTATTAAATAAAATCTGATTTTTTTATGTACCCACGATTTTTTAACTAATATTTAAGTTTCCTTTGGTTTAAGTTTATTCATTATTTTATTCGGTGATAATTATCAATTGCGCACCATGGTCACTTTTTACCTGCCAGCATTAAATCCTTGAATTTAAAGGATTATTGTACTATTTTTAATAAAAATACCTCATTAAAGGTAAAAAAAAACATGATTTTGTCAATTAATTAATTTAATCCTAATTGAGGTATAAAAATGGTATTTATAAATAATAATTATTATTAAGGTATAAAGAAACTATTTATACATAGTTTAGCATTATTTAATCAATTTAGTTCGAAGATTAATTTGCAAACAAAAAGCGTTAAGCAGTTATTCATAATGGATTTTTTAACAGTGAAAGAAAAAAAAGAAATTATTTTGATTTACGGAGAAGCAGGCAGGAATCTTGATGATGATGTTAAATCTACGCTCAGCGTTTTCCGGATAAAATTCGATCACGTACTTCAGTTCACCGTACAGTCAAGCAGTTTACTAAAAACGGGAGTGTTCAATCTAAAAATTATTTTATTATCGCAATACAAAAGTATTAAATAGTTTCTTAACGCCAATATTTGAAAAGTGTATATGAGCATTTTATTTACCTTTTAGTTTCGCCGGCAGTAAACTAAATTTAACTTAATTTCGGGTATAAAGTGGAAAAAGGATAATTGTTCTTAAAATATTTTTCTGTAATATTCACTCGTAAAGTGTTCTTGTAATATTTTGTGGAACCCATCAAAAGTGTTTATTAATTAATTTTGTAACAATGATATTTGAGTGGACACGATTAGTTAGTGTCAATAGTTTATTATAACATGGCCATTAATTTTAGTTAATTACTTTACTATGCTAAAATTATGCGGGCGAATTGCCCATTACCGTAATAAAAATGATTAGATATTCTAATTGAATGCCTTAATAAAGATATCGATTGAAAAAACTATATTTCTGAACTAAAAAAAATAAAAAAATATTCCCTGCAGTCTAGAAAACTACGAAGGTAATTTGCTCTTTTCCAAAGTAAACTTCTTTAGCTGTTTCGTTTACTTTCCTGTTCAAGTTGAAAGTTGTTTTAAGAAAATCATGTCATTAAATATTTGTCGGTATATAACAAAATAATAATACGACTAAAACCTAAAAAAAATTAAAATTGTTATGGCTATAAAAAATGTACCACCTAAGGTACCTTTTTTATTAAATTTTCATTGCCTTATTTTGACAAAAACCTACGATTTGTCAGTAATGAGATTATTTTTATTTACAGAATAAACTTTTTTTACTGTCAATAAAATTCTCATTTACTATATTCTATTACTATTTTCATGGCAATAAGAAATACTTCATATTTATATTAAATCTTTGTCGACTTTAAAATGTTTTTATATATAGCAGTTGTTGTAGTAAAATTTGTTGTTTGTTAAATTACTATCGTTATAATTCAAATTAATTTTATTTCAGTTAGGAAATCTCTGTTAATGCTTACGTTAAGAATAATAACAAAAATATTTTATTGCTATAAAAAGACTTTTTTAATATTTACTATTGTTTTGCAATGGTAACAAAATTTTTTTTATTTCCCTTAAAAAGAGGGGGAAAGGGCCAGCGCTCTCCTTGGTGAACATAACTTTATAATCCACAGTCTGCGTTATAATCTTATTGATTTCACTTGTGCGAGTGAAGTGTGGTAAAATCTAGCATGAAAAAAATATCAAAAAGATCACCAAGAAAATTAAAATTTCGACTTTTTCTAAAATAAATATTTAAGGTCTATTCTATAAACGAAGCAGACTTGTTATTTAAAAAGTGAGTTTATATTGTTTTATTTTGTACATTATATATAATTTGAGTTAATTTTCTATATGTTTTATGTTATTTATGATTTTCTTGCAGCAGAATGAAACTTTAAATCATATTTTGATATTTTATTTGATGCTTGTTTTTATTTAATTTTATTAATTTTTTATTTTTTTTATTTTTAGGTGGTCGTGAACGGGCCCCGAAATTTAAAAAAGGTGACTAAATAAATTGATTTTGTTACTTCGTTGTCTGCTTTTCACTTTATGTTTCTTGAGTTCAGTGCAAATTTCCATTTGTATAAATAAAAATTATTCGCTTGTTTATTCAACAATATTAAACCGAGAGAGCTTTTAGCTACATTCAAAATCTTCCTTACTCCTATCAGGCATGCTAAAGCTTAAAAGCTTTGCAGTTATTAGATTTAGCTTTTGCATATATTTTGATTTGAAAACTAAGTATTGCTAATTTACAAAAAACTTTTGTTAGGTTAATTCAGAAAAAAAATAATGTATAACATCATTGTTTTAATATTTAAATGTTCGTTTTAAAATTTCATTTTCATAGACATAAATTTTATCTTCTTGAAATATACATAAAGACCCTCCTTGAAGGTTTATCTATTCTTTCACAACTCAAATAAAATCTATCATATAAAAGAAAGGAAAAGGATATTTTTATTCGACTTTTCAATATTCCCCTCAGATCTTTAAAATCCCATATTTTTACTCCATTTAGAAATTTAGAAATTGTGTAGATGCAGTTTATACGCTTTCCATTCAAGATGAGTGAAATAAAAGTTTGGTTTGAGTTTTTTCCAACATGAAGTTTAATTAAAAGTTTTTGAACACTGACATTTAATTGCCTTGACTAATTGCTATTAACTACGATATTCTACTGCGTTTTCATAGATAAAGTATTTTGATGTTTGAAAAAGTCATGTCTGTCTGAAAATGCATTGTTTACATGTCTAGTATATTTTACTGTACACTGAAAGAAATATATACTAAAGTTAAATAAAAAAATAATTAGGGCAAATATATTTTATGTTTCATATATAGACTACCACATACATTGCTAAAACAAATATATTCGTTTGGTTAGCAGCCTATTGCTGCCCTAGCAATATAAATGGTGTTTCTAGCAATATTTTTTTGCTGTAATTCACTTATAGTTTACATTTTATAGTAAGGGTAAGTTTATTTTTATTTAGATCTAACATATCTTCTTTACAATAAATGTATTACAAAATTTACCATACATTCATAATAAACAGTAGTATAAATGTGTAAAGCACTAGTATAAAATTTTTAGTATAAATTTGTATTTACTTTTAGCAACAAATTTCTTTCAGTGTACGGAAAAATGTATTTATATATTTTGCGTTCATAATGCCTTCATTATAACACCGCTTTCGGTGCTGTAATGAGATGCTTTATCCCACCCAAAATTTTGATTTTATAGGTTGGCTATACTTAATACAGCATAATATTTTCCATATTGGTTATAATATTTTTATGATTTTTTTAGTACTTTTCTGGCAATAAACTTTGTTTAACACCAAAGAAAATCCTTTTTTTCTTCTTTAACATTAACAGCCGCTTATTGTAAATAAGTCAATTAAGGACGGCATGGCGAATCGATTTTGACATTAACCGTCAAACCAATGACTATGATACCAACTATCTAAAGTAAAATTCCACCAAATTAAATTTAAGGTATAAAATTATTTTTTTTATACAATTTTTGCAAAATAGATAAAATAGCATTGAGAACTCATAAATAGTAAAATAATACTAAATGTGAAAATTATTTTATAATCTCAATACAAAAGTATTAAATAGTTTCTCAACGCCAATATTTGAAAAGTTTATATGAACATTGTACTGACTTTTTAATTTCGGACTCCACTGTAAAGTGCTCATAAAACATTTTCTTTACTTTCACTGTGAAAAACTGTCAATTTTTAAGAAATACATTTCGATTTATATCCTTTATAATCTGTGTTTAAAATTTAAATTTTAAAAATTTGTCATTTGATTATCTTATTGTTTCCTAGATGGCGCTCTATAAAATTTTTGATTTAAATCATTTTAAGATAATAATAAGTATTTGTCGTAGAAAAAGTGTAGTATGCATCTCGTTTTAAACTTTTCTATACACTCATCAATTCGTGTATAAAATGGCGTTTATCAAACTTGATACACAATGTACTATAATATACTATTCCCTGTGGTTTAAAATATAGGGAGGGTTTTTTATTTACCTTTACAATTTTGGAATTTCCAATCAACTTTGTTATAAGTACAATAAATAATTGTCAAAGGACCTTTTTGGTGTCTAATAATTTTATTGTACATACCAGTGGACACACCTGTTTTTAACACTAAAGCGTTTATTTATATTATTTGTGTTGGCACAAATTCGTGTTAATTAAATTAAATAATTGCCTCTACAAAGACAAAGTTGGTAATTAAATATTTTGTATATGGCAGATGGTAAAATGAGAATAAATCAGTTTTATTTATGCGCGTGTATGTTGTTCTATTACGATTTCCGACATTTTTAATTAACTTTAGGAGAAAATCTGTTTGTTATAAAAAATAATAGTTGTACAAACTCTTTTTTATTTGAATTATTAAACGCCGACAACTGCATTTTAAAATAGCAAAGTAAAAAATATATCTACAAATTCATGTCATCAGTCAATTGAGTAAGTATTTTAATATTTTTTGTAAATATTTTAGTATATTACAAAAGATCCAGGTTTTTTTAACTTGTCCACCCAATTTTAATGGATTTTTCCAAAAGCACGTTTGTAGAAAAACATAATAAATATTCAAAACATCAGTACCTTGGCGTGTCACAACTCCTGAATCAAATATTTGAGTGATTTTATTTTAAAATATATTCAATTTATCTTAAATTTTTCAATTTCACTACAAACTATAAACATTAAATAATGTATTTTTCATATTTTATCACAGATACGCATAATAGCAATTTTTAAAAAATTGATAATCTTTGTACTCACTTTTACCCGTCAGTTCTGTGTCCAAATGGTAAAATTCAAAATTCCTGCGAAATATTGAAGTTTAAACGTCAAGTCCTCGTTTTAACTCAAGTGTTGGTAAAAAATTACCTACAGAGCCCGCCCTTTGCACGACAGTCGTCTTGAAAACAATGCAAGCGGCGAAGTTGTGGTGAATGCACGTATAGTTCCAGTCAAAATTTCAGTACTGTGGTGAGTAGTTATTTTCTTACGTATATATATTTCATTGTAATTTATATAAGGCTATATGTGATTTGTTGATAAGTAGCATCCACTAATAAAAAATATCAGTAAAATACTTAATTCCGAATTATAATCACAAATTTGTATCCCATTCATCAGTACCGTGTCGTCAGTTCCATGTTCGATGTTTTGGTTATCTTTTTTTCGCAAACTTCAACTTAAATTCTGCTTGCGCAGAACTTGTTTATTTAATGTCATTGTAAACTCACATAAATTTGGTGTGGGTCCCGTATCTAATAATTGAAATATCGGTATACCCAAAATCCACCAGCCGCCACTGATGTGTGGTATTATTTGATTTTAAGATATTTAATGTATAATATGCTCAAAGTTGCAATAAATCTTATATTTTCCAATAAATTATGTATTTAATTAGTACTCGTCACTTCCCTTGCATTCAAATTTAGAAAACACAGATATTTTAGAAACTGTTTGGAAAAGTGACTGGCCCGGTCTGGAAGAGTATATTTATTGTATTATCTATGTTCTCATAACAAAATACTGTTTAATTTTCTCCGAAAACTATATAAACAAAATGAGGTCAAAAGTTCAATCACCCATATATAATATAATATTATTACATAATATAATACGCGTTTTTGATATTTTACCGTTGAGTAAAGACTTTCTTAATAAACGCTTTTAATATTTTCCCTATTGCGTGGAACGACGTTAAGATACAGATACATTACAAAATAAGTAAAATTGTCTTTTTAAGCTAAACTTTAAAACTAACTTACCAAAGGACCGAACTTCATGAAATAGTTAGTTTTAAAACTTCCAAAACAAGAACCTGGCTACACAAGTTTGTGGTCAAACTAAATTTATACAATAATAGTAGGCAACACATTTTTTATTGCTATCTATTTTATAAAAAACCTATGATACAATTTTATGTAGACATTTAAAAAGTACATAATTAATAGTATATTATGTATCAAGTTTTATAAACGCCATTTTAGTTACGAGTGTTAATAGGCACGAGCGAAGATTGCGAGCGAGTGTTTAATAAAAACGAGTGTCTATAGAAGTTTATAAAACGAGTTGCATACTTTACTTTATCTACGACGAACAGAGATTAGAATTTAAAGCCAATTTTAATTTATAAATATTTGACATTTGTAATTGAGGTATGAAAAAATGGTATTTAGTTATAAATAATAATTATTATTGAGGTATAAAGAAACTATTTATACATAGTTTAGCATTATTTAATCAATTTAGTTTAAAGATTAATTTGCAAACAAAAAGACCTCCTTTTGTTAAGCAGTTATTCATAATGGATTTTTTAACAGTGGAAGAAAAAATAGAAATGATTTTGATTTATGGAGAAGTAGGCAGGAATCTTGATGATGCTGTTAATATCTACGCTCAGCGTTTTCCGGATTAAATTCGATCACGTACTTCATTTCACCGTTCAGTCAAGCAGTTTACTACAAACGGGAGTGTTTAATGGAATCATTTAACTTTTATTTTAAACATTTTTTCGTAAAATGAGATTTTTCAGTTTTAAGTTAAATGACTCAGCCTGTATATAGTACAGCCTGGCCGGTCACATTTTTCTCATTTCATATTTATGCATAACCACTTTTATATGCCTCATTTTTTTTGTTTTCAATGTGTGCTTTCGCAACCGAATGAGGCATTCCAATGCCTAAATAAAAAGTTTAAAATATAGTTCGATTGCTAATTGAAATCGTAAATTTCAATTCAAATTTTCTGCGCCATTTCATTCGCTGCATTTCTTGTCAGTCGTACGGCCGCGGTTAATTAAAACAACACATCTGTTGCATCGCATATTTTAATAATTTATGGTAAAAAGTTTGTATACACTTTTAAATTTATTAAGTTTTACTTTATGAAATTTTTATGAAATCTTTATAATTATAATAGTTGGTTGCCTCGCATATCTATAAATAATAA